GGTGCTGCCTATGTGCTGCTCCTTTGGATGTGCTGTCTTAGCAAGCCTGCTCTGAAGGACAAAGATCACCCTCTGACTTAGGGCAAATACAATGATGGCATAGCTGACAAATATAAAGCAAGTGGTGGGTTGAGGAATTTTTTTTTTTTTAAAGAGGAGGCAGCATTTTATTTGAGTCACACAAAGTTGGTTTGTTTTGATCCAACCAGAAAACATCTGGATACAGTAAAAGATTCAGAAAGCTCTCAGCTTAATGGTCTAGAATGGGTAACCTCTTGGGAAAGTCCTTTTATCAGGTCTTTTTGGCATAAAGCTTCTAATGATGGACACATTGCTAGAAGAGTGCATGACTGTTTGGGAGAATAAATAATATTGATTAACGTGACTAAATTGTAAAATTAATGACTAAATTTATATTAAAAAAAAGAACATAAAGATTTTGTTTCCAGTCCTTTGTAGTAATTTTTTTTTCCAGATTTCAAGCATAATTCCCACTAATTTCATTTCACTGATTAGGAATGAAACACCATAAAGCATCATCTAGACCTATCTGAACAGCAGAATCAGGTTTTGGTATTATGGTTGAAATGGCAAAATTCAGTCAGTATGTACTAGTGCTCATAGGGTCACTACAGAACAGCCCAGGTTGGAAGGGACCTCAGAGGATTGTCTGGCCCAGCCTTTCCTGGAACAGGCAGCCTAGAACAGTCATGTCTTGTAAATCTCCAGTGACAGGGACTGCACCATGTCCCTGGGGAGTTTGTACCAGTGATTGATTGTAATCAATTTCTTTCTGATACCAGGATGAAACCTCTCCTCATGCAACCTGTACCTGTTGCCCCTTGGCTTCTCCATGTGGCTCCTAATGCAGAGTGAGCAAAATGGACTACCAAAATACTAAATACTAAAATAGCCTACCAAAACCTACACTTTTGACCTTAATGATGATTTTTTTCCTCTTTTACTGACTGTGTTGTTTTGTGATTCTTAGACTATATGCTGAGGATTTGGGTAAAGGCTGTTTGTAGGTATTACGGCTCTTACAATTGCACCACTTAATGTTAACTCAGTTCATTCTTAGCACAGTGACCAAACTGCATTTGACAGCCCTTTATTCAAAAGGCTCAGTTGCAGAGCTTGCATTCTTTACCAGTTTGCCTGGGCAAATTAGATTTGTCGATCGTGCAGTAATAACCTCTGTTCTGTTGAAATCTCTAAACCTTTGTTGCTAATACCTCTGAAGAGGTTTCTTCTTTCATGTACATTTGATGACTCGTGTAATGTTTAGATGTAGTTCCTGGATACTATATGTTTGTTTGAGTTTTTAGCTATGGTTTTAAGTTAATATGGCATGGAATTTTTCTGGGGAATTTTATCTTATACTGACTGCAGTTTTCTTATTTTTAAATAATTTATTCCAATATCATTCTTTCAGCTGTGTAGTCATAAGTGTTGTCCAGAGGAAAGCTGCAGTAGGCAATTCTGTGATTGAATAGTGGCACACATGAAAAGAAAATACCACAGAATAGAGTCTAACTCCATGTGTCGGTCTTGGTGTGTTGCATGCAATAGCTGAAGCAATTTTTTGTATTTTGGGATACTGTGGTATTATTCTGCAAATTGTGTAATTAGCCATGCTTTATTTAGTTCACAAAATAGACTACCTGAAGTTTGGAATTAAAAATTACATGGATACAAACATGCAAAGGGGAGGAAGTAAGATTGTACAGTTTTAAATCTGCTATACTCTGAAGTATAGCAAAATAAGTTCCTGAGAATGTGAACTGTCTTTTACTGTTTCCAGTTATGCAGCTTTATTGTAAAGTAAGATCAGTTGTCTGTGTATAGGTATTACTGTGTTACTGAGATGGTAATGAAGTAGTGTCTTTGCATGCAGCCATAATTAATGACAGAGATCCTTGAATTGTAGCACAATTTCTCCACTTTCTTGCCCTCATTCCAGACAAACCAGAGTAGTATTCTTGTCTGGTGTTTCTAGTTACTTCATCTCCTCTGAACTCCCATTAAATTGTTTCTTTAGGCTCAGATTTTTCATTTTAAAACAAGCTGTTAAGCTGAAAGCAGGGGAAAGAAGGGTCTCTTGGAATAAATGGACAGAGATTTGAATTTAGGAGCCGTGATTTTGCTGCTGTTAGGTTTGTTTTAACATCTGCAAGGCAGTTGAAACTTGTCTGAAATGAAAAATTTCAAGCAAAGTTTACATTTATATTGTGGGAGGGAATTCTGTGCTGAAACTGCTGCGAGAGGGATAAATAATGGAAGTTTGCTGGTACAAGGTTATTTAGCCCAGTAGAAGAGTTGCAGGGCAATGACACAAATTACGTACTGTAAATGAGCTGTAAAGTGACAGAGGAAATTCACTATCAGTAATTCTAAAATAGTATCTCTGTGAGAACATAGATGGAGGTGAGGGGCTGCCTTGCAAGCTGTACTGCAACATGAAAGGTTTTTCTAATTCAAACTATTGTATTTCAGGAAAAAGAGCTTGGAGTCTAAGAGCAGAACAGCAGGTCTATTTCCAGTTGCCTTCTAGCAGAGCAGCAGTGTTGGGAATTACTGAGGTAGCTGTGGCAAGGAAAAGAGAAAAGGAATTGTGATGCCTTTGAAGGAATCTCAGCTTCATGGGTCTTGAAGCATGACTGTTCTTTTTGGAACTGTAAATATACTGTAACTAGAAAGAGCACACTAAGGAGTGACATGCATGACGAAATTTGTCAAATGATTTATTTATTGGGAGAAATTTAAATGAAGGTTTTTGTTTTGAAAGGAGATATCTGAGGATACAAAAGGATTGTACATAGAACTGCAGGTGAGACCTGGAGAAGGCAAAGAATATTTATTGTTTCTTATTTTACAGAACTAAAGAGATATAATTTCAGACAGATTTTGTGAAATAAGGAGAAAGAATGCTTTTTCTACAAAGACTATAATTGACCTGTGGCACTTCTTGCTGTAGGGTGATATTGATGTATAAAAGCATGTATTTATTCAGACAGAAGTCTGGGTAAAGACATGGCAGCCTATCTGTATATGCATCTGTCCTCCATAAATCATACAGTCTTTGATTCAGAAAACCTCTAAGTGTAGATTGCCAGGTGGAAAGTATTTTGTCATTGCTGTTTTCTTTCTTCAAATACATGCTATAAGATAAACCAGGTCTTTCATCTGGCTAGTGTGGTTGCTCTGATGTTCATCCTAACTGAATCAAAACTGCATTCAGTTTCCTTTTGCTCTGTTCCTGTGTGTGCTACTTGGGCAGAATCGAAATAACTCTTGGTTTGGGACTTCTTCATCCCAGATTACATGTATGGAAATTGAGTATTGATGGAATTGTCTCACTGGGATTGGGTGTCACCTGTTTTGGTGGAATGAGTTGGTCTCGGGCTTGTGAGAAAATAAAACACTGCAATGCCTCATTCTCAGCTGGATTTTAGGTCAGAATACAAGATTTTGGTGCTCTTTGCAGCAGTAACCTTCCTCAGCCTGACTCGCATGCCAGCTGCCACCCTCACCTGCCATGCTCTTCCGTAAGGGAATGGAGGAAGGAGAGTGAGATTTCTGCTCTAGCTTACAATCACTGATAGCAGTTGCAAGCTGGGCTCCTTGTAATGTGTGTCCAAAGTCAGGTTTTTCTGCACATAAACGTTTTTTTTCCCTTAAGAATAAAAATTAAAATAAAGATGAGAGCATGCTGGCTCAGTGAGGGCCCAGTAAAAAGCCCACAAAATCTAGAAAACTGTCTGTTCCCAAGCAAAAGTCCTACTTGTTTGCAGACTTGGTGAGAACTAGACAACACTTCATAGGCAGCTGTATTTTGCTGCGTTGTTTTGAATCCACATGTTAATACATAGATATCCAGTGTCTGGGAAAGCAGGCAGTGCAGGTCTCAAATACAATTTCTTGCTTTCCCAGCTGAGAGTTCTGTGATACATGCTTATTAAAGACACTTTTCCAGAAGGTCTTTCTATCTAAATACTGCAGTGTAAGCAAAAGTAATACTGATAGTAAAGTAGTATTGTGGGGAAAAAAGACGACTACTTGTTAGCTCTGTGTGATTTGGTGGTGAAGCTGAGACGTGCATAGAGCAGACATGTTTCCCAGCAGCATGTACAATTCTGTATTCTTTATAATTATGCTTTTTATGAAAACATCCTGGTTTGAAAAGTGTACTCAGACACTGAGTTCAAAAGTTGTCCTTTATCCAGAGATTACATGGTAATTTTTTGGATGCAAATACGCTTGCTGCTCTAAGGATCAAGCAACTCAAATCTTGAGAAGAGAATTATTGGAATATATTATATCAAGGGGTTTGTAGTTTAAAGAAAACCAAAGCTAGAGTTGCTTCTGCAGCACAAATAAAACTTTTTTGTACAGATACACCTGTCCTTAGTGCATAGCAAAAAGCTTTATTTGCCACTCTTTTAACTCACTCACCAAGAGGATGGTTAACAATGATGTTACAGACTTCATGCTTGCCACCTAAGCTTTGATCAGAGATACGGGCATTTCTATGGAGCTGTGAATTAATTTGTATCTGAATATTACAAAATAGAATAGGCTTTTTTCTCTTTATGTGCTAGCAACAAAGGCACAGTAGCCAGGACTGTCAGTTGTCCCTTAACTTGAGTTTGATAACTTGCTCGCCATTGCTCAGGTACTTCTGTGGAAAGAATACCTCAGTTTTGCTGGTCTCAGAGCAGTGTTTCTGTAGTTCCTTGATTGATTGACTTAAATCAACACCTTTGTCAGCCAATAGTGTAAGTACAGGGGCCTAGCAGGCAAAGGGCTTATTTGCTTCTGGAGAACTTTGTCCTAAATAGAGCATAGAATTTGGGAAAATGGAGAAGGAAGCACATAATGAACTTTAAACTTGTGTTAGATGTATATGGGTTGAGTGGATAACCTCAATTTATTCTCTCTTATAATACACAATTTCTCTGCATTCACCCTGCCCAACCTGCTCCTCCTTAATCCCGACAATGGGTGAGCAAAAGCCTAAGAGACTTAAGTATATTTTAGCTTGGAATATGATGGCATCCTAGAATCAATTAGTGGTGTTGGAGCCTTTGCACTTACTGCTTGGGTTTCTACAACTTAATCTTAGTGGCTTGTATTGTTGGGGGTGATCCTCTCTGTGGCAGATGCACCTACCTTGCTAAAGACCCGAGAAAGACACAGCAAGAACAACACCAAAGTTTCTGGCCCTGTTGGCCTCTTGGCTCCTGTCGTGTCCACACAGTGGGGGGTCAAAGGCAGGAAGGTTGGGGTCAAAGGCAGGAAAGTTGGGGTCTTCAGCCAGTAGGGGGCTGACATGACCATGTATTGACCACAGATCAGATTCGACCAGGGTATAAATGGGGCCCTGTCGGAGAGAACATTTGAGTCAGTCCTCCTTGGAGCAGCAAGTTAGCAGTCACAGACTCTCTCCTTAAGTTGTGACACTACTTAAGGTAACTCCTCAACACTGAGAGCCCTCCCTTTTGAGGTGAGTGAGTGAGTGCACATTTTGGATCATTGGGTGTAAAACATAAGAATTCTTAACTCAGCTGTGTGTGGCGATATTCCCAACCAGCATATCGAGCCTGTATTTGTTAAATGTCAGTGGAATGTTGTTTTGGTGAATGTAGCTTTGACTGCTTGATTTCAGTTGCAGATTAAAAGTTTGTTTGAGTTCATTACGTGTATGTAGTCATTATGGTGTGATTCTGTCACACTCTTCTCCACAGAACAGTAATAGAAGGAGGTGATCCTTTTTTGGTTGTTGGGTACTATAGCCATCAGCTTAAAGTAGAGGTGCAAGTTCAGACTTCTAAATTCAGCTCATGTGACAGGAGGTATGTTGTCTCAATCAACAACTAATGCCTGTGTCTGATGGTCCTCCTCTTTCTCCCACCTTCATTGCTCCTGCAGCTATCAGGCAACTCATGTCTTCCATTGGAGCTTCTTTGCCTTGTCCTGTAGTACACTAGCAAGATCGTTGAGAGAACATGAGAGAAACAGTTTTTGTTCTCCATTTCTGTGACTTAATGTGAGCAAAATGAGATTTTCATTAGCCTGTTTTTTTGGGCATTGTCTGAGCTGTGCCAACAATTGTAGTATTTCTGCCTGAGGCAGGTTAATCAATATGGAAAGGAAAGTAAGTAGATGTCTTTAAAACAGCGTTTGGAAACATTAATTGTAAGTGCTTTTAATATTTTGGTGGACTTGAGATTGGAGAGGGTAAAGCAGAAGACTGAAGTGTAATCAACTTATTTCAGTCAGTAGTTTGATAGCTGTAATTCGGTTATTATTAAACTGTTAGTAATATGTATGTGTGTGTCTTTGTGTTTAGCCCAGATGCGAACATCTGTGCGGGAAGAACAACAAAGATTTAGTAACAGAGGAGCAGAAATGAAACAAGACAAAATTGAATGGACACCATCATTTGAGGAAGGTGACTCCCGTGAAACAGAAACACAGGACGAATTCACAGTGGTAAGGTATGTATCAAATAGGAGGAGGTAAGGTGCCTCACAGATGATCTGCACAAGTTGTGGGAAGGCAAAGACTTAACCTTCTTAAAATGGATCTAGTTGTCAGACATGACTTGAAGGCATGGTTGCATTATCAGTGTGTAGATTTTGCACAGTACAGTGCAAGGTAACTTAGTTCATGCCCATCAGAGCTGTAATTTCAGTTTCCTTGCAGATCAGTTTGGAGTAGTTTTGTTAAGTGTTGGAAATATAAGACTAAACTGAAAAGTGTAAAGATCTGAAAACATAACCCCTAGTCTGCAAAATAAATGCTCACTTCTGTGCTTGTGTACCTAGCTTTGCAGAACATTTGGTTCCAAGTTGGATTAATTTTACTGTTCAAACTGAAAATAAACCTATGTCATACTATTAACTGTTTGGACAGTGAATGCATATAAATTTTGTTTTCTTTATAAGTACTAGAAAATTCCATCTAAATCTTTAATGCTTGAGAGCATGGCTGTGCTTACTTTACATCACAGTAGTCAGTATTAAACAAGTTCCCTGAAATTTTTAGTAGTTGCATATAAATCTAGGTTTAGACAGGGGAGCTATTGCCTGATAAAGTTACTGAAGATTTTGCAGTTCTATAGTGTTTTATTTAACTTCTCCAATGTTTTCAGTGAAGTCAATAAAACTCTGACCTTTTTATTCCTCTTATCTGTGATTATTCTCCGAGTTGAGTCTGTGTCCATTTTTAATGACAAAACTAATGCAGTTGTACTGTGTGCTGTGTAAAGATGCACTTTAAAAATTGTACAGTAGCTCTCATATACTGATGTCTTACAGATGCACAAATATAATTAATTTTTTTTTCTCCCCATTAACTCTTCTGCAGGAAAAAAACCATGACTAGAAATCTTCTTAGACGGTTTGAAAGAGTAGATTGTGAAAGGCCAGTAAGAGGTTTTGGCAGAGGAAGAGGTGGAATGCAAGGTAGTGGAAGACGTGGTGGAATTAATAGAAGTTTTGATGGCTTTAACCACAGAGGAAAACAGGAGTTTGAAAGACAAAGTGGGAATGATCACATGTAAGTGTTCTGTGTGCTGCCTCCTACTTGGTGTATAACTAAGCAACAGTCAGTACTGCAGCAGCGTCTTTTAAGTACTCTGTTCCCTTCTTCTATATCCAGCTTGGCTGGCAAAAAGTCAATACTGGTTTTAGTTTAAGGTCCTAATGAAAAAAAGCTCTTAAACTCACAGAACCCTGTTTTCTTTCTCTAGAGCGATGAAAGTGGAGAACAAAAGAGGTGGAGGGGGAGCTCGCAACTGGAGAACAGTTAAAGATCATACAAGGTACAGCATGTGCTTGTGTCCATCATAGATCATTTTTTTCCATGGCCTGCCTTAGATCATAATTTTCTCTTAATCAGTTTTATGTCCATTTTGAGCTTTATAAGCCTTGCTTTCTATTAATTGTTGTGATGCATGTGGTTTTACAGTTTTATGAACTCATCTCCTTCACACTGAGATTAAATTGTAGCAAAGGCATGTTGCTGTTTCTTTAATTAACACTGCAAAAATCTTTTGACTGGGGCCAAGTTGTCTTCCAGGTGAAATATGTTAGAACTTTTTGCAATAGTCAAGTAAGTGAGACTCTGGTATTTAATGGCATTGCTAAAAATGCTGATTAAAAGAGTGAAACTCTGTTAGTGGGCTTAAAGTCCAGTCTCTTTTTCTTAAGTTTTATTTATAATTTCTAAATTGCAAAGCTATAATACAATTCACTGTGACTCTGGAGGTAGTATTTAGCTGACTGTATCACTGAAATAAATTTTAAAGTGCACAGGAAGATTAACAACAGAATGTGATGGCTTAGTAATAGCTAGATTTAAAAAATTGTGTATTTTCAATTTAATTTTGTATTTCTTTGACTGGTTTCTGTTCGGATTTGCAAAAAGCTTGCTGAAAATGTAATCTTTTGTCCATTCTTTGCACTTAGCAATATGCTACTCTTTCTAGTAACGTTTTTTCTCATATGCATCTACAACTCTTTAATTGAAGGCTGGTAAAGGAAAAAGGCAGTTGTTTGAATTTACAGCAAATATCTTTGGCCACGTACACATTAATTCACAAAATTTTTTTGAAAATATATTTTTCTTTTTCAAACTCAGATTGTGGATTTGGACAATCTAGCTAAAAAGCTGAAAAATACAGCCTTACTGGGTAATAATTTTGGGGCTTGGTATTCTGAAGTTCTTCTGCACTAACTTCTATCTCTTCTATAATATTTCATACTAAAAGTAAAAGATTAGTTAGGTACTCTGGCTTTTCAAAACAAAGGATCAACTAGGTTAACAGAGTTCTGAGCTGACAGCACAAAACTAGCTGACCAAAAGCCCAAAACTAGCTTTTGTAAGATGTCAGAGAAAGTTGTATGAACTTCATAAAGTACAAGGAACTTAAGATCCCTTATATTTGTTCTCCTTAGTTAATTTTTTTTAGTTCAGTAGCATCAGAACTTATGATATAAATATGGGATACCAAAGCTTTATTATGATGTGCTGTGTGTGGTAGAAGTGACATCAAACTGGAGTTATATAAATGATTCTAAAAGCATGTCTGTGCCTCAATTATGCATCAAAGCTAGGTGTTAATTTTAAGTATGTATGCCTGCCAGTGGAATGAAAGCAGGTATGCCTCTGCTTTTACTTGACAGTGAACTCTTGTCCATGTTACAGAAAATATGGAGTATGAATTTTACCATTTTAATAGTTGAAAAGAAAGAGGCAGACTGAAACATGAGAGATATACTGTAATCAAGTACTGATGTTAATAGTCACAATTGAATTATTTTGTCTTCGTGCATGCTTTTCGCCTTTTTTTCATTAAAAGTGCATAGAAATACATTAAAAGTATATAGAAATGCTTCTCATTTTTTTTAGTTGCTTAATTAGTCCCTTAGTGGATCTACTTTCTGCTTACTCTCCTAGAGATTTTCTCCTCTCTTTTTTCCCCTCCCAGGTAATTCTGGAAAAAAAGTGAAGTATTGATCTGCAAGGCTTTTTTCCAATGTGACCCATGAACACTTTGTGGTTTTTTGTTTACTGTTTTAGTGGGATGGAACAGACTGCTCCCATAGAAGAGACTGCAGAAAGCGCTGAGCAGCCAAGGGCATCTGAAGGAGGGCCTCTAAACAAGTATAGTCTGATTAAATATTTTCTTTCTAAATGCAAAGAAAACAATTGACTGTTACTGATATACGTGTATTGGGAGGCACACTTGAAATGTGAACTGTGAAGTTTTGCTAGTGCACGTATTTTAAAATAGAAAAGCTTTGTCTATATTTGTGAGTCAAAACAATGCATCCCTCATTCTGACTAAAGCTTGGTTTATACAGCTGCAGATTGTTGCCCCATGATGCTTATGTTCCTAAGATCTGGTGATAATTTAAAGAGGAACAACATATTGTCTGTTACCTTTTTAACTTGGCTAACTTGTCAAAAACCCTGCTTTTTGAAGTTCTCTATGAGAAAAAGGAATTCCAGGTGCCTATGCAATTGCACAAACACAATTAAAATGCATTAAGATAAAATTCTGTAGGTCAGTATTTATCAATCACTAATACCATGCAGTTGTTATCTATTCATGATGACCTGCAGAACTTCAAAACCTTGCTGGAAATGGTCGTGGCAGTGAGACTTAGAAGTAGGAAAACTGAGAGAGAAATCTGACCCTTGTCTTCTAGCTTTCACAGTGTCCAGTGAAAATTTACTTCACAGCAAATAACCACTGGCTTAAGAAAAAGTAACTGGACGATCTTGTCCAAGTAAGAGACTTTAAAGAATAGTCAAATTGTCTATGGTGAACATCTAATGAGTGAAAGAGGGGCAGTGCAATATGTCAGCCTTTTCTTCTGTTGCTATGATGCCTTCTTTACCTGGTGATGCAGCTCCAGTTGTTAGTAACTTTGGTTTATTTCTTAATTATAAAGCTGACTAGACCAGAAAACCTGTTTTATGTGTTCGGGTTGTATAACCCTGTAGGAAATTGAGTTGATACAGTTTAGATTATTTCAATTTTAAACTAACTTTTAATATATAGATAGGGGTGTGTATACATGCGGAAATCTGTCTCTGAAATTGAATTACTAAAACAGATTTTCAGAAAACTCTTTCTAGACTAAAAATCAGTGTAGATAAACTGTGAAAAATGCAGTGTATTAGCTAAATATGAGACCAGTTATTCAGCTTTTTTTGTCAACTACTGGTACCTTTACTTCTTTCAGACTTTGTATTTACTCCAGTTTAAGCCTTTTGTAGATGTGTCCTGACATCAGTTCCTTGTAGTGTGTAATGCATGAGAAGTACAGGTAGTGGCAAAGGCATCTGACAGAATCTGCCAGTTGTCTTTGATTTTTTTTTTGCTTTTCTCAGGGGTTGCTAGGTATTCCATCAGACTGTGAGCCTTCCTGGAGATTTTACTCCTCTTCATGTTTTTTAAAAAGCTTCATTTTGGAATAGTCCACCGAAATTTGTAAGATTCAAAAATGCAAGTAACCTACAAGTAAAAAATTCAGCATCATGTACTCTTTTTCAGTCCAGGAAATATTGTCTTGGAGGCTCAGAGACTCTGTAGTTGTTTTAACATTTAAAATCAAAAGCCTGTCAGATTTTCAGGTTTCGGGCTTCAGGATATATTTTAAGATCTTAGGTTGCCCTGCTCTCCAGAGTTGTTGTCTTCTGCATACACCAACAAAAGCTTCTACTTAGGCTACTTTCTGCTTTTGCTACAGTCTCAACATTGAGGGTATAGGGGCGTGCATTTGCTAAAGCTACTGCTAGGATTTTTCTCATTTTTACTCTTAAACACAGAAATGCCAAGGAATCAATTTCTTTTCTACTGTTTTATTGCAGCTGTGTGTTTGTATTGAGGAAGAGATGGAAAACTTGGGTTTATTTCTTCTCTCATTCTCTTCCCTGTTGTTTCTGTTTCCATTTAAACTGAAAAAAAAAAGAGTTTCTGGTAATTGGGAATGTTCTGCTTGCATGGAGATACTGTATAGCTTTCTGGTGTAGTTATGGCACATTTCAATGCTACTCTGGAAGGACTTCTATGGACTTCTGTAATTTATGGGGTCTTGACTTCAGGACTGTGTCCACATTGCTGCTTTTGAGCTTTCATTTGGAAAGTATTGCAGGACAAGTGTTTCTGTAATACTTCTATAATATAAATCAAGTGATTTCTTTACATGTCTTCATATTTCCTTGAAGGTATCAGCAGTATCTATCTCTGCTGATAGCATCCTAAACTGCATGCTAATAGTTGTGTTTTGTTGTTGTTGTTGTTGTTTGTTTTTTTCCTGCAAGTAATAAGTGCAAAATATACAAGTAGTACAGCAGTGCAAGCTCTCCTCACAGCTGCTTTCTGTTGAACTTTTCTTCGCAGTCTGAATAATCTAACACGCTTGTGTTGACTGGTGATTCAGATGAATTGCTTTTTCTTTTTATTCAGTGTGACAATTAGTCTAATCAATTCCTATCAAAGGTATTTGCAGAGTTAGTATTTGTTGTGTGGGGTTTTCTTCTATTTCTTCACATGGGACTTTCTTCCTTTTTGGTGGAGCTATGTATTGTCTGGTCTTTTAAGGAGACTTTCAAAATCTGTTTTCAAGTTTGCTGAGCTTTTTACCTCTGTTGTGTTTTGGTTTGTCTTTCCAATTTTTATTTATTTTTAAAATTTTTTTAATAGTGACATAAAGCTAAACACAGACCAGGACAGATCTTCAACAGTATTTGGTTCAGTGTTTTTGTTCTATAGTTAACTTGTGCAGTTGTTGCTTGCTGTTTAACTTTGAATTTTGCTATAAGTGGTGGTAATGCTCCTGTAAATGATGTTCGATAGGGAAGACTAATGTCATTGATTTCTTGATAAATGTTGGGAAAAAAAATACTTTTTGTAGCTGAATAATACAAAAACTGATCTGAAAAAAGACCCACTATCATTATTTTTAATGATGGGAACATAATCAGCTGTACAACTGAGCTGAATACTATTATTTTTCACACACATTTCTTCTGCATATGTGTGTTCACATATAGCAGTTCCTGAAAGAAACCTATGCACAGTAAACAAGGCATAGCTAGAGGGTTACGGTCATCCATTGAAAACACTGAAGCAGGAGGAACCACTGTTAAAGGCTCCCATTTGGTGTTTTTCTGTGTACTTGCATTGTGAATTCAGTTTGTTCATGTCCAGAGGCCACACTTGAGTGTCTGCCAGGATTTTATTAGCATGATTGTAGGTGTGCCAGGGAGCTTACTAACTTGATTAATGAAAATGCACACCAAGTAGTTACTAAAAATGCGTAAGTTTAGAAGGTAGAAAGTAGTGCATGGAGTGCATTTCCATGTGGGCTTTGTGCCCAAAATAACCTGCTACAATCAAGTCTCTGGTTCAAAATGTGATATGCAGGTTCCTGTTGCTGTGCTTCATTAATGGGCACTGTCTCCCCTTGGGAGTCTCTAAAACAAACATGTACTGCTGATAAGCTAGCAGTTGAAACCATCCTTTGGAGTAAAAACTAAACCATATTTTGCATTTAAAAAGACAAACAGTTGCTGTGTAAATCCACCAGTATTTCCCCTAGAACAGGCTAGTTGGTTGTTTCTGATAGATGTGCACATCTGTCAAATATCTGTGATTGCTTTTTTGAGAGGTCAATTTGCTATGTAGTGAAATGTCCTCGTGTTGTCTTTTGATCAGAGAAATGTAGATCTGAAAGGGAACTTGCTGACCCAAGGCATGACCAATTATACCTGTGCCGCTTCTCATACCTATCTGGTTGATTTTTGTCCTCTACTAATAGAGATTTCAATGCCTCTTGATGATCTTTACAATACTTTGAAAACAGAAATTACGGTGTTTGTTTATTTGTTTGTTCATTTGGTTTTTTTTCTCCTGAGTGTCTTCCCTTAACATCATGGATATGCAAAATTTTCTTTGTGTTTTAGCATTAGGTATTTTTCCTCAGCACCTCTTTAAAGGCTTCCCATGTAGATCATGTGTTTTAGACCTCATATATCTTGCCATTCTGTTCTGGACTTTCTCCCTGTTACCATGTAGAAGGCATTACTCAGTAGAGGCCAACAGTGACATTTGTTCCAAAAAAACCTGTTGATCTGTCTCTTTAATAGTGCACTGTTGCAGAAGGGACAGATGCTGTTGATTTGAGGTTCAGCTTGGCTGGGGTACCTGCAATACTTTTGCATGGTTTGAGAGATTGAAGTCCCTCCTTCAGAGCTTCTGTCCTGGTGGTGGTTCTTTCTGTGTCTGGGCAGCTGACACTCTTGCCTGAGAGTGTGTATTTCTGCTTCTCCTTGAGATTTTCTGGTGGTGATTGTCTTGACTGGTTGTTTTCTGATCACTTCCTTTGTCTCTTTAGCACCTCATACAACTGGTTAGTCCTGCGGTATTCTTGAACGCTTATGCTATTGCCCTTTTCTTTAGCAAAATCTGTGCCATAGAAAATACATTAAATGTATTGTTATGTACTACACTATGGGTAACTGCACAAAGCTGCCCTTAAAGCTCCACTCACATACTTGTTTTTCTTTTGAAAATTTGAAGATTGATAGCTACTTCTCAAGTACGTCTTGTAACTGGTTCTGTATCTTTCTACAACTTTTGCCAAGGACTGAAACAGTGTCTCCCTCATGTGGTGAAAATTTAATGGGAGAGGAGGATGGAAGACTTCTTAAAGTTCAGATATGCAATTTACCGATTCTGTCCTGAGTTAGTGGCTTAGGAAGAAATTAAACCAATTTAATAGAATCACTTTTTATTGGTTTACTTTTTATTTTTTCCTTCCTCTGAATGCTTGCAACTAGTCTTGTTTTTCCAGCACCCATTCCCAAAACTGAAGCTTCAGATAACTGATCAAAAATTACCTGGTTTCTTACTCTTGAGGACAACAAACTGAAATGTTTGGGTGCAACTGATTCTTAATACTCTAGATACCTGTAGAACAGTATCTGGTGGTGTTTTTACAGAAATAGCTGCACATTTCATCAGCATCCTTTTTATTTAACTTAGTAAACTGTTTTGGTTTTTTTTTCCTTTACAGTCTCTAAGATAGTTTCACATCTTCTTAATCAGTATGGAACTGCAAGCTGCTTACCAGTCTTTTAACCTTTAACTTCTGGTTAATATAGCTGGAATTTTCAAAGTAACAGGGTCTGAAGGCATGTCAGAGGGTAAGCATATAGCACAGGACTTGCATATTTTTTAATTTACTTTTTCTGCAAAGTGCATTTAAAACTGTGTTCATCCTAGAACAAAAGGGCTATCTTACTATTCAGTTTTGCTTCTGCCTGTCATATGCTGAGTGCTTCAGGAAAATATGGTATAATTTTGCCTGACAAGAAATAGAATGAATCTCAGCAAAGTCAACTGGGAAGAGGGAGCAGGCCTGTTCCTATATAGGCTAGTTCTAAATGTGCAGAACACTTCCAGCAAATATGTGTGTTCTGATGTGGAGCTTGTACAACTTCAAAACTAAAATGCACATTTCACTGACTGTCACTTTATCATCTTTCTGTGATAAAATAAATTTCCAACTTGGATCTAATCAACTGTACTTTTACATTGAAAAGATCATCAGCATTTGGTAGAAGATTCGGAACTGTGATTGAGTGAGGAAAAACAAATCCATATTTCTCCTACCAGAAGGAACTTAATGAAAGGGATATCTGAAAAAGTAATGTTAGGGAAAATACTTAACCAACTTTGACTGCTATTTGGTGTGTAACAATTTAGTGTGAGAGAAGGGAGAAGTGGTTTCTCAAGTGTATGGGAGTATTAAGTGCAGTTTTTTCTGTGGTTCATGGTATTTGACTTGTTTCTGCAGCAAACAAGTATGGTGATGAAGCAAGTTGTGCTCCCTGCATGTGATGCTGCTAAGAAGAGAATAGGTTTCTGCAAATATCATTAAAAGGTACACCTGCAGTGTACTCTATTAGCTGCTGATCCTGGGTGATTCAGTCTTGGGCAGCATCAGAAAAGTCGCAAAAGAGTAGTCAAGCAGTGCTGAGTGTAGAAGCATCTTTAGTTTTGTCTATGAATACAGACATAACCTTGGACTTCTGTCTTTACAGTTCAAAAATGATGCAAGGCAGACTCCGCTGTACTCCGTATGTTTTCCTTGAATGTATCATCATTATTGCACTTTCACTAGTTAAGACTGGACTAGGATTACTCTGGTTTTGCCAGGTGATAAATACTGTCTCCTTGTATGCTACTAAATCTGACAAATCAAAACAGCACCTTGTGAAATTAACAAAAGAAATGCTTATAATTACCTAGAAGAACCCATGGCGTAATCATCATCTCTTTTTTTATGACTGAAAGCTGCACTGAAACATGAGTCGACCTCATATTGTCATCCTGCGGTATGAGTCAAAAAAACCCATGCAATTGGAGTGTTTTAAAACTGCTTGGTATGTTTCTTTTTACTATGGCTATGTTTCCTAGGAGTAGATCCACTATTAAACAGTAGAGTTGAGAATATGCCAGATCAAAAGACTGTTTTTGTCTAGAATCCAAAGCACTTGAACTTACTACAGGAGCCTGGAGACATTTGTTCATAAGAGTCATTTCAAAGAAGCCATAAATATATTTTCTTACTCACATTACTCTAAAACTCACACATCAAGTCACTGTGGGGAGTGAGTGAAATTGAGGATAGTAATTTGGTGAGAAACATTCCAAATGTTTTGTTTAGTATCCTTACTTTAGAGATTAGTGTTCTTGTTCATCCTGGGATGTTGCAAGCTAATGGTTTTTACTTTACAACTATAAACCTTTAGAGTTGCTGAAGGAGAGCCATTGGAAGAAGTAGTTCAAGAAATGACGTTAGATGAGTGGAAAAATCTTCAGCAACAGAATCGACCAAGGCATGAATTCAACATCCGGAAGCCAGAATCCACTGTTCCTTCCAAAGCAGTGGTGATTCACAAGTCAAAATATAGTGATGATGTAAGCATTGCCTCAGGAATTCTGTAAACTCTACTTTATGCCCAGGGTTAGGAAACTGTCTCTACTCTTTTTCCACTAGTCTTAGTCTAATCTGAACAAACCTAGAAATCAGTATCTGAGCTTTGTTACTCTAATGACATATCTGCCCTAAAACTTACTCTAAACTTACTATCTGTTCATTTTCTTCTCTCAGTTCATCACCCATATTTTGTATGCCTATACATAATCTATGAAGTTGTTCTACCTTACGGCTCAGTCTTAGCAATATAAAACCTGTGTCCTTCCTGCTGCCACCTATGAAGGTCTCTGGTAATGCTGGTAGGGAAGCTTGGTTTACTAAACACTTCTTATCTAACTTTGAATCCTGTTTAGCTTACTTGCCAGTATACACTTGCATGTATATATTAAACTCGGGTTTTAGCATCTGTTGGTTTGGATGCTAAGTGTCCTATTTCTCATCTGTGCTGGATCCCAGTTTTCATTGTGCACTTGAAATACATGATTTTTTGGTGGTGTTGTTTTGTTTTTTTTCCCAGTTTTAGGATCCTGCTTCGTAGAAGTAACTCTGGAGAGCTTGTTCTGTAGTAATGTGCTTCTCCCCCTGCCCTTTTTCCTAACTTTTATTCCAAGATGTTACTGTGATCAACATTTCAGGGAGAACTTCTTGTTTACTGATATGACTGGGGAGAGAGAGGAGGCTTCTTTTACAGACTCTTGCTTACTTAGATTTCAGGCTTTGGGGGGTCACAGAAGTATGTGCATATACTTTTAGTCTAGCATGATGGAATTTTGATCTCTACAGTCTGCATGCACTTCCGAATACACTTGTCCTTTGTCTAGTCATAATATTAACATCAAAACTTGCAGCTTTTTAAGCCTTAAGCAGTTTAGGCCATTGAGTACTTCCAAGGGCAGACACTAATACTGAAGTGGTCTGCATCCTTTTTAGCATGGCTTTTGGAGGTCACAGTTGCCATTTTCCCCTTTTCCTTCTCTGAGGGAAGTGGTGGTAGGGCTGGAGAGAAGACAGTATGCAAGTGTGTGAAGAGTGCATGCAAGTTCCTGTTCTTTTTGCCTGTAATGTTTCTTGGCTGGAAGTATCAAGGGACCTTGTCAAAATGAACATAGAATAGGAGGTACAGGAACTGCGTAACATGGGCAAGTCAAATCCCTGTATTAAACACTGAATAAAACAAGCGATTTGTCACTATATGGGATGAGTTTACATATATGTTACCATTACTACAGTGCACATTAAAATTATGATGGGAAATAGTCTTACATCCACAAGCTACTAGGAATACACAGAGTTCAAACAGTAATCTCACAGCTGCAGACCAATAGACTAATAGATTGGTTAGTAGCCAAATACTGTGCTTTACAGTGGCTTTTTAATCATTACTTGAAGATAATTGTAGGAGTAAGTAGCTTAAGCTGGATTCTCCAGTCCCTTAGAAAACTTCGTAGATGACATTTCTGAAAAACCTCTCCAGTGTTATGGAGCTGGTGCAGAAGATTTTGTTACCAGGACTCTCTGAGCCAACAAAGAACTATCCCAGGCATCTGGGAAGCTACAATTGCCTCACCTCTGCTAAAACCTTGTGCAAGTTAAGGCCTGTCTTCTGTTCTGGATGTCATCTTGATTTATCTGCTGCTTAGTCTTTAATACAAGTGTGCGTGGGGAAGGGAAAGGGAGAAGGTTGTACATGGAAGCTATAGGCTTTAACCAGATCTTCATTTCAGTTGCACAAAGAACATATTGAAGATGATTCTCATGTCTTCCGAAGATCCATGAATGACATAACATCTCGTCTGGATATTAATTTTGGGAGTCTTTCTCTGCCTGGCCGCAGATCAAGAGGAGCACGAGGTGGTCGTGGTCGTGGTCGTGGTCGTGGTTGTGGCAGACAAGTTGAGGAGACAAGACCTCAACCAGCAGCAGCGGTGATGGTTTCTACAGTTTCTGTTGTTTGCTTGGGGATTTTTTTGATTGTTGGGGTTTGTCTATCCCACCGCCTTTTGTGAGGAATTACTGATTTCTGTAGTGTCAGGCTTGTTTCTAATTATTACCTCATAGCATGTTGGCCTGGTTGAGTTCCTGACCCATATCATATTACTTAAAATTAAATACCAGTTCAGGCTCAGAACTCTTGACACATAAATTTCAAAAGGTCTGATTACTAGTTGCTTTAATGGGATCTAGAGGAAAGGATGCAATGAAGATTTGTTTTCGCAATGAATTTTGATATAAACTGGGAAGTAATTAAATTGGTTACAGGCTTGTATCACTTAAAGAAAATTCAGTACGGTATAGTAGTAGTACTTTAATTAGAGTGAGATCTGGGATCCTACAGATGAAGACAGAACCCTACAGCATCCTACAGAATGATACATGTGTTCAGTATAACCACTGAAAAAACTTACACTGACCTTTTTCTCTTGATGGAAAAAAAGAGCATTTGCACACTGAAAAATGACATCTTTATTCTCCATCCTAACTGAAGGTCTCAGTTCACTTCTGTCTGTTATGAGTAAAACACTTTAAGGTTGAGAACTTACAGAATGATATGGAAGTGATTTGGTGCATTCATTTCATTTGAATGAAAAAGGCTTTTTGTAATAACAACATAGAGTTTAAAACTGCAGTCTAATATGTGCAGTAGCCTTAGAATGTAGAAAGATAATAATGCTGCTTCAAGAAAAACAGTATTTTGGGTGAGATTGCTTTACTTTTTTATTTCCACTGCACGGCTACAGAACTTGTGGTCCTCCTCAGGCAGTAGATCAGCATTATAAGTATGTTCACACTGAAGAAATTACAGTAGTCATAACTTCTGAGATAAATGCTTAGCATTTCTGTGACAGTGATGGATACAAAGCGTTTAACTTGAGTAGAAGAATGAACCCTTTTCAGGGTAAAATATGTATACGTAGCTGTCAGATGCTTTTGAAATGCAGGCATTTTTATAAAGCTACCTTTCATATCTTATAGGTGCAGCATGTTGCTCCAAATCCTGATGACCTGGAGGATTTTCCAGCTTTAGCTTGAAGAACCATCCTACATCCTAAGTGGTTGTATTTCTAAGTAGCTTTGGTGTAGCCATGAAGAGACCAGTTCTGTGCTGGTGTCAGTAAAGAGTCTGTTTCTAACGGAAAAGCTGTTCGGGTGCTTGATGTTGAATGATTGCCGCCCTCTGCTAATGGAGTTGGGTTCTGGAGATATTGGGGGACTTGGATCCTGTCACAGGTTCCAGTGTCTGCCTCCTTTTTTGAAAACTGTGAAGCTTTACAGTACTTCACTACAGGTCTTCAAATGAAGTTCAGTAATACAGTGTTTAATAATGTGTATATAGAGATTATATCAAGTTTTCCACGACAGCATGGTGAAATGTAAACTGTACAACACAGTTCTGTAATTGAGATTCTATTTTACTGTACATTTGGAAGCTGCTTTCCCTGTTTCTTTGAGTGAAGTGTGTATTTCATGTAGTTATAAATAGCAGTTCTTTGGTGTTTGGCAAATAAAAAAAGTGTTCATTGGTTTGGGTTTGAGGTATTATTTTCACACATCATGGTAGCAGGTTGAAGCTTTTGCTATTTGGATGTAGTCTGAAAAAAACCAAAACAAACCCAAAATCCTAAACCGCAGACTTCACTCACCCAAAACAGAGAACAACTCTAAACAGAAGTGATCTTTAAAATCAAGGCAGCACAAATGCTTTTACTTGATAGCTAACCATAAGTCTTGCTCCAGTAATAAGATATAATCTACAACTATTTTGAGGATGCTGAAGGTTAAGTATAGTAAGAATTTTGAGCTAAAGACATAACTAAGCTGTTACAAGAAGCTTTTCATTTTAGCAGGAGCGTCTACAAACTAGAATGTTTCATGCCTTACCAAGAAGTTTGTGTGACAGTGGGGATGAGCTGGGATGTCCTTTCCTTGCAGCTTTAACATACTTCCTCACTTGAGCCAGATACCCTTACTTGTTCCCTGTCAAAGAAGACACTCAGAGCCATTCTTGGGGATCTGAGAGGAGCAAGGGGACTCTACCAGAAGTGATGAGGGAAAGAAATGAGAGGACAACCACACTGGACATTTTGGAAGTAGTTTTGGAAGTCTTCAAATGCCTGCTCAACTTGAACTCATGCTTTCAGTTTACTAGGAAAGCATATAAACTTTCTTTTTTTTCCTGTTCTTTGTCTCACTTTTGTATAGCTTCTAAGCAGCCTCCTTTGAGAGCAAATAATAGATGAGACTTGAAGAAGGAAACTGTTTTGCTTTGGAGTAAACTCTTAAAGAGTATTCAGACACTTACTTCAGTGATAACAAGTGGGATGTGATAGTCCTGGAAAGACTGCTGACTCTTTTCTATATGCTCCAAAGAGATGGTGTACATGGCAGTGCTGCCCAAAGGACTTTTCTCACATTGTTTAATTACTTATATGACAATTTGCTATAACCTGAGACTTCAGATTCCACAAGGAGCTCCTTTCAGTGGCATGGAGATACTCTAACAACCTGTTATAGAAGGTATGTGCAAAAACAACATGCTGGTGTTGGAGGAACCCATGCTGCTGCTTTTTGAGTAATTGAATTGGGTGAAATAATGTAAATTACTCATTCACCTCCTAGGAGCAACCTAGTACTTGAAATCACTAAGTTTTAAGATTTAACTGCTGCTGCTCTTTTAATAGGTGTTCAGGTATTTCTGCCAAAAATGGCAATTTAATTATTGTGGAACAGAAATTATTTTGTCTATGGGGGTCTTAGAATTTCTTTGCTTGTTCTTCCCTTCCTCTTCCCCTTATACCATCAGAGAGGGAAGAATATGTCTGAGTTTTTATTTATGTTTTTGCTTACAGGGATGAGTGTATGTATAGGTTTGGAGACGTTTGCAAGGCTTACCTCTGTTTTCCATGGTGTTTTGAAGGTGTATGCTCTTCTTTTACTAACCTCTTACCTCTTTTTGCTAAGGAAAGCAGTGAAATACTTAAAAGCAACCCTTCGTTTTTCTACTAAAAATTTGAAACCTTGTTATACTACTGAGTGGAATCTGGTCTAATGCAGTTTGTTTTCTCGGAAGGCTGAAATTACTCTTTTCTTTCTCAGTCTGGTTTCTGCTGCTGCAAAGTTACTGTTCAATCCTCTAAGTTCAATCTGTTTTTCAAAGCAAAATTACAGTTTCTCTGGGGAATGCCTTAAAGGACTTGTCAAAACATATCTTGCATAATCAGCATTTGGTCAGCAGATTGTTTAAAAACTGGTTTTAAAAAAAGTAGGCTGGTTTTAAGACTGTTTAATTAAAACAAACAAACAAAACCCACAAAAAACCCTCAACCAACCAGAAAACCATGATCCATCCAACCCAGAACTTTGAGAATGGGGTTTGGTGTAGTTGGTTACTGCTCATTAAATCAAAATGTCTTGGAGCAGCTAGGTGTGCCAATTTCCTTTTTCAGTCTGTCAGACTTGACTATGGCTTAGATACTAGCAACTAGAGAAACTCTTTAAGTCTAGAGAAGAATTATTAAGTGGTGACAGTGATCTGGTTCCTTTGCCTAGCTGTGAAAAGAGAACTTACTACATCTCAGTCATCTGTCATATTTAAGGTACAAAAATAGTTGTATCTCATAGAATCACAGAATATTAGGAGTTGGAAGGGACCTCGAAAGATCATCCAGTCCAACCCCCCTGCCAGAGCAGGATCACCTAGACTAGGTCACACAGGAATCTGTTAAGCACATGTCTGCTGCTAACAGTCACTGATGGTTTAGCTTTACTCTTTCATGTAAAGCAAATGGTAGCAGGTGTAAATACATCTACAAACACTAGTAAAATATAGCATGCATCTTAGGAAGAGATTAAACTGTGTTGTACATCTTAGTCACGTTACTACTACAAGGATACTCTGCTGTTAGCATTACTGTAGTGAGTAGCCTAGGAAAATCAATTGAATTTCAGCTTTGAGTTTTAGGTTCATGTAAATCACAGTAAGTTTGCAAAGAAAGAATTCACCTCTCTCCACAGCTGTCATTTATATAGGATAGTGCTGATACAATGTGGTCCACTTGAATCATATATAGTACTATGGTATGGGATTGGCAAGAGTATATTACTATGAAAGTGCCTTTAAAGGAAAAAGGAGAGGAGTGTCTGTGCTTAATGTAAGAGTACTAAAGAATAACTAAAAGGCTCAGAAGTAAAAAGCCCTAGTAAAAAACTTTAGTTAATAAATAGGAATATTAGGCAATTGAGCCCATGAGAGATGAGTTTTCAGCTCTGGTTACACATGTTCATGTGAAAACAGGGCTGGGGGTATTTGCAGTCTTTGCGCCCAAAACCAAAATCTGTCGCCCTAATTACTCCTA